TATGGACAAACAGACACACAGACACACAGATACATATGTTCCGTTCCCAAATCCACACACTCACACACACCCGCTTCAAATTCTCCGTCCATTCCGTCAACAGAATCGCAGGCGAGCCCGAATGCATAATATGATCGGCATTAGTGTGTTCTGCCAAGTTCATTGAAGTGATGGAGGTGCCTTCTCCGTAGCCGTCCACGCGCTTGGTGTGGTACGAGGGTTTAATATCACCATATTTGGTAGTGAGCAGTCTTCTGGCGGGCCCCATAATGCGGTGTGAATACGAATCGTCCCGCTGCTGTGACTGAGACACTCCCACTCGCCTATGGCTGCGATGGAGAACGTGCGGAAGTTAAGCTACGGGTCAACTATATATGGTATATAGATATATATATATATATATATATAGAGCTATATAGTATACTCAATGACATACGTATCATGCAGGATAGAGACACTCCATATGTACCAAAAACATACGCACTATGAATGAGAAAGACACCCCCTCTGTGACAACCACTTACATGTCCTGCAGTAGCCTATCGAGCTGCTGCGGAGTGTTCACAGACACTCTGCTTCTGGCGGGGGTGTCACCGCCCACATTTGATACCCGAGCCGATCTGGCCATCCTGATATGACTCGTTTTGGTATTATTGGCGCTTTTCAAAGTGGTTTTGGGTGTGACAAAGTGGTCCGTTGTGTCCGGTGCCTGGCCCAACGGAGTGGCCGGAGTAAACCGCTCCAGCTCTGGCAGTTTAACCGGCGGCTTTGATTGGTGGAAGTAGTGCTTGTACATCACATTCAGCGCTAGAACAATGGGAATGCACGTTCCCAAAATAAACACGATCTGATTGGCGTGCAGAGCGATGCGCCTACCCATTGTCAATTGACCAACACTCTTCAGGTACTCGGATGAGTCATCCGTACCGTTATCGTCCCGGAATAGGCCCACTGGACGAGGTAGGTACGCGTACATGACAACGGCCAATAACACCCAACACCCTGCAGTGAGAGCGGTCGTAAATGCCGAGAACTGCGATACCGTCCCTGTCTTCACAACTGCAGTAGCAACAGAATAGCACAGATCGTAAGTGACGAGACAGTGTCATAGATTATATGTATACGTATTTATATATGACTATACTTTTATACAATATATATATATATATATATATATATACATATATGTAACGATATGTAGAAATATCAAAGCAAATGCATGCTTGGACAAAAGTGGACAAGTACACAAACACACACGC